ATAAACGAATGATTTATATGAAATTGTTGCATAAAACATTATGACGTCGACCTATAAAAAATTACAATATGCATAAATTGATTACTGCAATAAATTCAATTTGGTTTCATGCTTATTTTATATATAACTGCAATTTTTAACAGAGCTTATTGAACGAATCGAACTACGTATGGTACACTACGATGATGGGGTGTGCTTCTGTAATAGCTATCAGTCTTATTCTCTTCGACAGGGAACGTCAGTTTCGCAAACACGTAGCCCTCGTTAATTTCGAGTGTCTCTTCTCGTTCGGCCGTGCAAGATGACGAAAAACAATTAATTCGGGTAAATAGCGTTTACCGATGGAATTTTAATACGTTGTTTATCGATGAACCAGTGGGAGATTGGCGATATCATCGCGTCAACCGCCCTGCCTATGTGATAAATGTTTTCGCACGTTTAATCTCCCGCCGACGGAATTTTAATGGTTTCCTTAGGATTAATTTTGCGATGACAAATGGAATCGCCAGCCCCGTTTCGAATTTTCCCCCACTATATATTCAAATATCTATCATTTCTTTTCTTGATAAATCAGTATAAGAGAGAGAGATAGACATATACGCGGGGAAATAATATGCAAATACGTAAAAAACAATAAAGTTGACAGTTGTAATAAAAATTACTCTTTTTTCTGTGTTAAGGATGTATAGGCTACATACTTAAACAATACTAGCATGTTGAATTTGTTATTATAGATTCCTAGTACCATTAAAAAGCTATCNCTCCAACGGTTTAGGAGTTATTAAGAAAAAACGAAATTTTTTGTCAAAAGTTGGCTGTTTCGACGGTGGAATGGTCGGATTTCGTCAATGCCAATAAAATGCCATATAATCATATGTAACTCATTAAATATCGAAGTTAGAAGAAAAACAACTTTTATTTGAAGCATATTTCGAAATTTTGACAGAAAAAAATTGCATATGCTTCTGGTTCTCCGCAGAAGCAAAAGAATAATCAACGTGCGTTTGTGGGTTCCCGGAGAAGTAGACAAATTATCCTTAATCGATTGTTGATTCAACTGATCGTTTTGGTCAGTCGATCTCGAATCGTGTAAACGAAACTCGATAAAATGACATACGATTTTTCGTAATTTCGTAAAAGCATAATTTATTACGACCGTCGTCGGTCGTTCGATTTTATTATCCTTACACATTTCAAGGAGCGACTAAAACTCGAGTATAAAACTATTTTTACTATTGTTTATTTAATGGCCGTCGATCGTGAATATACTGTTCTATCACGAAACAGACGACTCTGAATTTCAAACACTACTAGCAAACGTGTCGACGGCACATAAATCGGGCGAAGATACATTGACTGAGTCCTTTTGACGTCGGACCGCGGCGACAAATTTGTAGATCGAATAGAGACAGATTAGAAGAGCTTGTTGCGCGTTCTAATCCCGCGTTAAACGAACAGGTTGGTCTGCGAGATCAACTGGGCGTCGCGTGGCCAGACAGACAGAGGAGCGGTTTTCGCCCAGGAGGAGCCGGCGCCCCGTCGAAATTATGCAGCTGTTCATACAATCGTGTTAGACGGGTACAAGACAATCGTTTCACGTTTGACGTGTAAACAGGCTTATACGGAAGGGGTCGTAATGCGTAAACAGACACAGTCTCTGGTTACATTAACAGTATAGGATGGTACACACGGCTCTGACTGGGTGAGCCAACGAAATCCCTGTCGGAACTATGGAATCTGATTAACAGAGAGGAACCGTTGATACGATTCGGCTGCGCGGGTCGATAAGTGCGCTCGAGACGTTCGTAAGTTCGCTGCTGCTTCCCATCGGTTATTCCTTAGGCACGTGGGAACGTGTGTATGTCGTTACGTATGCGCGTGTGCGTGCCCTGTTGGTAGAGGAAAATTGGACGGAATCCAGTTTGGTAAAAATGGAACGAACAACGGAAGCGAGACATTTATGTAAGTGGAACGTAAAACGAGGATGGGATTGACTTAATTTAATTTTTACCGATCAGCTCGCGAAGTTTCTTTCGTTCGTTGGAAGTGCATGGATCTCTGGATCTCCCTCTCTCGGCTACGTGCGATTGGAAGCCGGATTTCGAGATTTAAGTATTAGAAGTCGTGGAAAAACAATATACGAATTTCGAGGAGGAACGCTGAATTCCACTTAGAGTTAAAAGTGAATTTGTAATAATCCCTACGAACCGAGCGTAATCACGCTTTACACAGGCCGGTTAATGGTAACAAATTAAAACTTTGATGTTCGCAACTTTTTTCTAGTGTACCTCGAGCAGTTTCACAATTGAAAGGTGCAAGAGTTAAAGAGTTTCGCACTGGCAAAAAATATCGGCTTGTTAGCAGCGAGAGAGGAATAATTCGTGTGTAACGTGATGTTAAATACAATTTCAGATTGTATGACGAGCGCAATTTTTAATAAAAAATTAATCGACGCTTGTATAAACTCGATGGTTAAATTGAATCTCTAAATAAACTTGATGGAATTATTTGTAGGCGAAAGATCAAATTGCTATTCCCTTTTTCAATTTGGTGTAACATCAATAGAATCGAGAGTTACGATTCGCACGATAAAATCAACACCAGAACTCGTTTCTGACCAGACGGGGGTTAAAAAACATGAAAAAGAAGGTGAAAAAAAAATGGTAATGGAAAGAAGAAAGATTATCAAACAAAGAGATCGAGCAAACCCGGTGATAGCCAGGCCCCATATCCGGTATGTTCGATTTCCTGCACGCGAGTTAGAAGGAAATTGATTCGAACGATGCGCCGCGCCGCGCCGTTCGTTGGTGCATTTCAATGTTAGGCTTAAAAAAATAGTGCGTAAAAAAAAAAAGAATCGAGCTGATAGGAACTAGTGCCGGAAGTGCTGTCATGCACGAACTGAAACCTTCCGTATTTAACGCTTTTCATTACTCGCCAGGACAATTGTCCAACCACTCAGTCTATTCCAATAATTAAGATGCACATTGAAATATTTGGAAACAGTCGTAATCCATAGTCAAATAATTAATTGTTAACAAGATGTGTGTTCAGCAAAAACGTATCAATGATGAACGCTGTTTATATTAGGATAATCAATGTTCCCGTTGGGAAGAGGGGGACGACGTGTACTATTTTAAATTGAAATTGATTTCCCCGGGACAAAAGTAATGGCAGTCACATTAAACGCAATGTGCCGGTCGAATTAATATCGTTCATATAAATTAGTGTAACCTGATCACATTAATTACCATAATTAAATGCCGATATAACATGAATATGTACAGATTCCTCAACGCTTTCCACACTCGACAAACTTGCCGATTTGATTATTAATATTACGAGCCTCGCATGCTATTCACTTCTCTGCCATTGTATCGTTTCGTTCCATTCTCCAGGCTGGTATCTTTTCAGTATTATGAAATACGAAAATCCGAAAGTGAGACGAAAGGAGTCAATTTTCTCTCGTTAGCGTGAGAACAATGGAGACCGCATCATTAAACGAAACGAATTGTGAGCCGTACTGAAATTTACTTTTAATGAATATTGATAGTTTAGCGGGCTGCGATCATTTATTTATGCGCCGCGGGAACCAAGTTTTCTCCTTTCAGTCGGGGACTCTCTTCATACCGAGTTGCACAATAAAGTCATGATTAAAATCTTTCATAATCGTGTAAAGAAATCGGCCAGTCTTTTACTAAACGGAATTTGATATTTCTTACATTTTACGCTTGCTCGACGGAATATCGTAAGTTGTGGAATGATTCTGCATCGCATCGTTTCTGCTTTCTCGCTGTTCCCTTCTTATCTGCATATCTATGAGCCTATTTTTTTTCAGACCACGATAAAAGGTGATCATAGTACAGCTAATCTCGAGTTACGATCAGTATCAGCATGTAATCTCATTCATTTGTTCAAATTTTCTTTTCTAAACGAAACCTTACTATTCCTCGACACGCCGCCGCCCCCTCCGCACGATAAAATCATATAATACGAAAAATCGTTGGAATCCTTCCAATACGCAGTGACGAAGTCGTCTCGTATACGGGGAGAACTTCGTTAACCATTATCTTATCTCGGTATTTTTTTTTAATGAACACTGCGAACTACCCGGGAAACTGGAAAAAGCGTTCCCAATTCTCGCACAGCGAACAGCACGCGGGGGCAAGAAAAATAAATCCGTAGAAAATGTTATCCGCGGAAACTTTTACTTATGTAGCCGTTGCGGTTTCGCGAAACGATAAATCACCCACCCACCGGTACTCCCCGTCCCTCCTTTCCCGGTTTCCGGATATTTCTTCCTTGTAAAGCGATTACCTGACACGGTCGGTGCACGCAAATCCCATCGCGATTAACTAGAGCCTGTTTGCAAGGCGATCGGTCAATCAAACCTTCTAACCTTCTAATCGATGAGTACGGGAGAAACGAGTAACACAACCGGGCGCGGAAACACGGCGGGGCAGCAGCGTTGGAAGGTAGCCGTAGTGCGACGCGGCGCCCCTAATGAATATTGATCCCCCGAAGGTGGCAACTCGCCACCGGCGCGCCGACAGAAGAAACTAGATCAGTACCGGAGGAATTTTAGTCCCCGGTCGACTGTAATGGGTCAGGCTCATCGGGCAGCATCGCGTAAGTAAGATAAATGATCCTCTAATGTCTGTATTCCGCAACGGCTGCAGATGAGCCGATAGAAAGCGGTTTACTTCCTTCGGAATCGCTTCGTCAAAATCCGAACCGAGCCACCCTCTCCCATTTCGACATGTAATTATAGATGACTATTGAGATCGCTCCATTAAACGTTCAGCCACCCTCTAACTTTCTACCTATTAAGTGTTACATTAACGTTTTAACAGAGTCTTCTTTATCAAATAGTCAAGACACCTGTGATGTAAATTTAAGGAATAAAATCTAGATTAAGATTTCTTCTTTTATTTACAAATAATAATGTGCATTATACTGTCCTGTGCATTACACGTATTCTATATTGTATATTTCCTGCATATCTAATTTTTCCATAAATGTAAAGTACCCGCAGTTTATTAATATCGCGCAGCAGAGACAATTGTTAGAATAAATTGCGGAACTCGTTTATTAGCAAAAGTATCCTTTATTACCTTTTATTTGCATTTTAATGTACTATTGTAAAAGTTGGCACTATAATTTTAAAACAGCCATTCCAACGTTTTGGGACGTGCATTAAATAAATCACGATGGTTGTTATTGACCAGCGTTCAGGATAATACAACGATAATCGTTTTATGGCCCCGTTGTAAAATATCTTCAGCTGTAGGTATCCGCTATCTGGTTCAAACTATAAAGAAACAAGAGTAAAAGATAAAACGCACTCGTGCGTACTCCATCGATCGGAAAATTTTCAAACGCGATAGGTGGCTGGTACCTCCCACTTCGCGTTTGCGTTGATATATACGATATACGAGATGAAAAGCAAATAACAAAACTAAATGGAGATCAATATTACATACAGTCCGGAGTAATTCCCAATTTTATATTATGGCTTCGGCTTAATTTTTTTTATCAATACGTTATTTGATAGGGAGGAACTCACTTGTTATTTACCATATGAAGGATGCCACGATAAAGTGTTAAGATATTTCAAATATTTCACACGCCGTGATGTCATAATGTTGTAGTAAGAATGAAGGATGATATCATCGGCGAATTGCCAATGATGTCATCTTCTTAGAGCGATTAATGCATCATTCCTTGCATTCTATTGTATGCTTTAGCATGGAATGAAGAGGAGTACGTTCACCAGACATCTCGGTAATTAGCTTCGTCAACACCGATCTGTGGAATAGTAAGAGTGTAATAAAACCCCTTCCATCGTATGTTAGCAAATCAAAGAGATAACTTCATACTATTCAGCTATTTGACATACATTTTTATCAGATACAATATCGGTAAAGATGATAAAGTCGTAAGTTATCAATGTCAAATTGACATTCGATTACATGGAGTGTATACAGAGATATCACATGACGAGTTTGAATAGAAGTTTTATACAAATAGATTAATGTTTCGCATCTGGAGAAGATATGGTAAAAATACAGGAACATTCGAAAGTTTTCATATCCCTTTTTCAGTTTCCAATTATTAACTAATACACGCGGTGGTGGAGTGCGCATTTAAATAGGAACTGTATGAACATCAAAGTGCTGTTCACATTTTTCACCTTTCTGTTTAATTAGGTTCCGCCCGTTTTATTTCCGAGCCGTTCGATCGCTTTATACTTATTAATAGAACTCGCAGGAGGAGAAACGCGACGCCGGGGATCGAGAATTTCTCCGCGCTCTTCCTTTTTATTACGCTCGTCCGTTTCCTTCGATTCTGATTTTACTCGGTCAATAACAACGATCTCAAAGCGTTCCTCTCTGGCAGACATCTACTTCGAAAACGTATCGAACTCGGCACATCTTATACCGTGGAAATAAGTATTTATTGAAAATTCACGATCCAATTGTAGATCGATACATACGTATTGCGATTAGGTTCGGGACGGTTGATATTAAGTAGATCTTTTCATTTGCTTCGTCCCATGTTTGAGGAGATTCTGATTGTGGAAGTACGATAACAGCATATAAGTTTTCATACCGGATATTGGAAGCAAGTAAACAGGACTATGTAGTAACACATATTACGTGGCCGAGTCTTAATAGAAATATAGATGTTTCGAGCAAAGGAGGTTCAAACGATATTTGCAGAGGCTACCCTTGTGAGCAGAAATATTATTATTAAAAAAATGTTGCAAGTTTCATATATTAAATTTTTCTGCTTATTTCACTATACATCGTAGTGTATCGAGGGATAGTGGTGTTCTCTCATTAGGTTCCAGACCGATTTTGAACAGCGTTGATCTCCACGCTAGCTGGTCATCTCTGCAGCCTGTGTCCAGGCACATTGTCGACGTGTCGTTACTTGGGTGCTGGTCACCGCATGGATTTTATGCGATTTTACTCGCACAATTACCGTGCACCGCTCCCAGAAATTTGCGGTTCCAGTGGTCGATCGTTGACTACCGGCCACTTGTTCGCGTAATTAATTCTCCGAGCAATTTATGTTGTCCTTACACCATTTCCTTCCGGCAGCTCTCTCTATTAAACGCTCTCTATACTGAGATACACTTAAATCCTGTGCAATGTGCAACCCTGTACAGGTTTATAAAGAATTTTCATTTTCATCAATTTTATTTTTGCTTCGCCAATTTCGTATAAGGAAAAGTGGCTGTTGAACCATTTATGTCAAACCGACGCCAACTTAAAACTAGAACTTGTGCCATACGTTTTTCATAAACTCGGGTTGCTCTTCATACGTCGAAGTACTGAACGATTAGAAAACCAGGCTCTTCGCTGATGGAGCTCGTTCGATCGTCTGGAGGGCACGAAACGGGGAAAAAATTAGCCTCATTTACTGCCTCGGGATTGACGTTCTCATGTCGAATCAGTCCACGACACTTATTCGCTTTTCGTATTTATCCCCGGTAAGCCAATGCCATGTTCGATTCGATAAAACCTGGAGTGGATTAAAGTGAAGTTAACTAATTGAGAATTAATTCATCAATCCATTAATCATTGCGAATGGACGTGACTGATTATTTAATCACACATGATAAAAATTATGATAATTTAAGAATTTAACGATAGCTTGTTATTAAAAATTAAAAATACTCATTGTTCCACAGCTGTTGTTACACACTAATATTTTTTTTATATAACGAATTTCTGTATAATTGTAAAAACTGATTTGGTGGAAGTTTAAGCAAACAGACAAGTGTTGCAAGTAAACATGATTGATTATTTCAAGGCTCATGATAAAAATGATGATACTTTAAGAATCTGGCTAATCTCCGTATTCAACTCTGAAAACACCTTCATGTAATTAAACTTAGAAAGGATTTGACATTGTCCCACAGCTGTTGGTTGCTCACGCAGTAATATTATTTTTATAACGAACTTCTCAATTATAAAAATTGCGAGGGAATTCGGTGGAAAATTAAGCAAACGGACAAACGTTGCTGCGGTGTGTTAAGAGTAAGACCAAGCCTGGGCGAGAGCAACAATTTTCCCGCGGCGGCGTTACAATATCGCTGGTTCTGGTAGTTAAGTACACGCCGACGCCCGACACCAGCATTTCCGCCGCGGTCTGTGTACACTGGAAAATGTACAACGCCACGTGCTAATTATACCATAACGAGCAACACGGCTGCGTCCCTTGTACGAGTCGATAATACAAGCGCGTTTGTCTTTTCCGCGATTAAAGACAGGCTGCCGGTTCCCGGCCGCCGTTGTTAGCCTGAACGGTCGATGATAAATCAGCAGCGTCAACTCTGCGGACGGTTTGCGAGTGACGGAAAACAGCAAGCTTTTTTTCCGCTCGTCCGCCATCCCATCGTCAATCGGAGATCGCAACTTTGTTTTAAAATCCACACGGCGGTCGTAAAGTGATTAAACTTTCTGTTTGAATTGAGCAAGGCCGCGCGAGCTTCTCCCCTCCTCCTACCTCTCGGCGGGTAACTACTTTTAATTAAAAGTAGAAAGACACTCCCCTCGCACAAGGCTTGGCATTGAAAAGCGTCGGAGAGAAAGAAACCAGCTCTAATTGTTGTAGATTTATCATGCTCAAACACGGAATAAAACTTCCTGAAAGAATCTTTCTACTTCTCTCACTTAAAGATGTATCAATTATTGACAAAGAGATGATTACATTTATACGTGCAGTGGAAATTGAAATATTTACCTTATTAACAGTTGTTAGGTGACGAACTAATTTATCATTATTGACATAATTTAATTAGCGACAAACACGCTAAATCTAACTAAGCAAAATGATTCTTACTCATCTTGATCTCTGGTCTTACTCATTGTATCCCTAGTGTTCCTATTCCTTCCCTGTTTTGGCCATTGGACTCCGATTACTCACAGTGACTAGTTATAAGGACAACCAAAATTGTATAATGAAGTAGATTTCCGAAGTACGTCTTTGCATGTGCGCAGAGCTATACTGTCTAATAAAGTTCTGGAATTTCAACTTAAGAATTGTTGTATGTAATACCAAATTTGTAGTTCAACACAATTTTGTACACTAATATTTATATCTTTTATATTTGAGTATAATTTAACGTAGACACTGGTACTTCAGTTTGTAATAAATTAAATAATAATTACACAACTTTAGCAATATAATAATTTGTAGTTTTATCGATCCAAGAATTGGTTTACGTTTTGAAAAACTTAATCATTTACTCCTTCATATCCCACAAACTTCACTTATTTCTAACAAAATAACAACACGAACTTCGTCTCCCTTTTACTTCTGAAGAATTTGAAACCGGTTATTAAATCGGTGCATGGAAGATTTAGTTTCAAGAAATTAAATTTAAAGGCGACGTTTGTTTATGTTATTTCGCGGTAGCAATGATGTCGCGTGCATATACAATCGGAATTACAAATTGCATTACGTTTCTTTGGCTTGGAAACCGTAAATTTATATCCACGTGTCATTACTATGCAAGTTCAGGTACACGAAATGTATCAAGTGTACGATTAATGGGAACCGTTTTAATGTCGCTAAAAGCACCAATTTGTTTCCAGAATTAGAATGCATTTACAAAGGGTACGCACTGCCGCGCCGTGCTGTTTACCCCGTAACTCTAGTCGCACCATGTGTCTTGATATCGCGTTGCAGCATTCGTTTATTACACATGAAGCGTAATCGTTTGTGTAATTTCGCCAATTTAAATATGTGCCTTCGCTATGCGCACGCGTTCCGGCGATCATTCTCGCGCGACGGACGAATAAAAATTACCAACACGATCCACCACGTGACATTATTTTCAATAATAAATAATCCACGCGTCTCCGCACTTTTAACAGTTTTAATTGTTTTAATGTTACCACGAATCTTCAAAAATTACATCGTGCGAAAGTATTATTTCGACTGTTGGATTATTAATTTATAAATCCAAATGACAAAAATGAATCTTACGTTTAACACTAGATTGCCCAAGGAAGTCATTTTGACTGCTTTTGGGCAAATGTACAAATAATAATGCATAAATTATTTTTTTTCCTAGTGATGTAAATTTTTTTTTACTGTTAAC